TAGAAGGCCCGCATATTACCACCATCACCTGGATCGGGATCATCTTCCCTCGGTGGAGGCACACCGCCGATCTTGGTGTTGGGGTCAACCTCTAGGCCTGCGAGGTTCTGTCCATCCCCCGAGCACATCCAGAATGTTACAGGCCGCTCCCAGCGGCACTCGACCCCCGGAGCGCACCAGCAGGCGGCAGGAAGGCGGCGCCCGTGGCCGCGGCTCACACACGACGGCGCTGCCCCGCTCGCGACCGGGCTGCCGCCGCCCAGCGGGGCCGCGCCTGCGCGGCGGTCCGGGGCCCGCCCTCCCTCGCCGCCAGCCCGCTCCGCCCGAGGCTGGGCTAACGGCGGTGTCCTCCCCCTCCTCCTCCTCCTCCTCCTCCTCCTCTCTCTCCCTTTCCTCCACCTACCTCCTCCTCCCCTCCTCCTCTACCTCCGCCTCCTCCTCCTCCTCCTCCTCCTCCTCCTCCTCCTCCTCCTCCTCTGCTCCTCCTCATCCTCCTCCTCCTCCTCCTCCTCCTCCTCCTCCTCCTCCTCCTCCTCCTCCTCCTCCTCCTCTGGGAACAGGAGGCGCGGGAACAGGAGGCGCGGGAAGTCACGGACCGCCCTCTCCTGCGTGTGCCGATCTGCGCACGGATCGAGCGAACACGACGCAGCGAGTTGTCGGAAAGCGCGAGCCACGCCCTCCCAGACACTACGCCAGGTCTCTCAGTAAGAGTGGGGGGGGTGGATCGCGTGGGGGGGTGGGAAACCGCTGTCCTTCGGGGGGCGTGGGTAGGTCAAAAACCTCCCTGAAAGTCCCTCCGAAGGGGCCCCATTCTGTCGCCGCCCCCCCCCCCGACCTCAAGGTCTCAACCGGCCCAGGGACGACCTGAGGGCGCCCCAAGCCGGTCCCAGAGAGTCCGGAGCAATCCAAGAGAGCCTCCCGACGGTTCCAGATCGCTCCAAGAAGCCCAAAATTGCCTCCGGAAGGCCCAAGACGCGGGGGGGGGCTCATTGAAAGATCTGGAAAGCCGAAGCCTCCATCGCCGTGCCCTGCCTCGCCGTGGGCCCGCCCGTGGTCCCCGCCGGTGGTGGCGGCAGGGCAGGCAGGGCAGGCGGGCCCCTCCCAGGTCTCGAGGGGGCGCACGGCACGCGGGGGGTCCGTCGCCCGCGGCGGGGGTCGCCCGCGCCCAGAGGTGCCGACCCGCTGTGGCCAGGGCAGGGCAGCCCGCCCCTCCTCCCTCCTCCCTCCTCCCTCCCCCTCCTCCCGCCTCCTCCCTCCTCCCTCCTCCCTCCCCCCTACCCCCCCCCCCTCCTCCCGCCTCCTTCCCTCCTCCCTCCTCCCTCCTCCCTCCTCCCTTGACGCATGATGATGCAAGGGCCCTGGACGCCATCTTCGAAGCCTCTCGAGCGGGTGCGGCCAGCGCAAAGCGGCGCAGGATGGACCGCAGGAGGCAAGGATGCAGGGTGCCCATGGGAAGGTTGCCCAGCCTTACTATCGGGTTGACCTGTAGAGCCCGATAGGGCTGCACAGTCCAAGGCGCCAACGCTCGGCGGCAGGAGTCGTGGTCTCTCGACGGATCCCAACGACGGATTTAGACCCCTCTCTTCCATCAATTTGTGAATATCTGCCCAGCTGTCGTCCATTCTGGTCGCATCTTCGTCTCTTCTGCTCCCTCCATCATCTCCCTCCCCTCCCTTTCCTCGTCCTTCTCCTCCTCCTCCGCCTCCTCCTCCTCCCCGTCCTCCAGCCTCCAGCAATCCTGAGCTCTCCCCGACTTCCAGAGAGAGCGAACAATCCTGAGCCCGTCTTCGCAACAGAAATTCCCAACGGCGACAGCCATCCGTAACCCCCCTCTGGGCGCGGCGAGAGGACGAACGAGCTCACGCCACTCACGCTGGAAAGGGTGCACGAGAGCCTGCGGATAAACCCCCATCAGCTGCACTGTGTCCTCGGCCCGTGGTGGCGTGCTGGAATGCATGTTCGCTGTCCGGCAGGTTTTCGAACCGATCCCCTAACCTCCTTCCCACGCCCAGTGCCGTTGTCGTAAGTCGCCCCCCCTGTTTTTTGCTCCACGGCGCCCTCATCAGCCCCGTGACGGTCCCAAAACGGCCTGACACAGCCCCCATATAGCCGCAAGATGCCCCAAGACCAGCCTAAATCGGCACACAAACTGCTGAAGACTTCGAGATGTCCGCGTGGTGCCTGAAGAAGCCCCAGAAGCTCCCAAGAGGAGGTCGAAACCATCAAAACTTGTGTTGCTTCAGTGAGATGTCCTCAAGGAGTCTCCAGAAAATCCCCAGTCGAGTCACCATATGACCCATATGCATCCGAGCCCACTAAGACCATCGGAGCACGAAAAACGTGCCGCGTGCGACAAAGCGGTCAAACCATATTGCGCTCTCATGCTCGTTAGGGCTGTAACTGGAGCACCCGATTGGGGCACGAAACACGAGAGGGTGAGCCGAAACGGCCTGGTCCCTGCAAGCGTCTAGGCCCGCTGAGCGCGCAGGTGTTGTGCCATTTGTCCCACGATGCCACACCTGCTCTTGCAACTCCACATCATGCTGTTCCTTCCTTCGATTCCTGCAACTCGTCCTGCCGTTCCATGCGCAGAGCAGATGATTCGTGCCGGCGACACAGGATGCCAAGGATCAGGGGAGCGGACCCCCCAGAGCGTCCGGCAAGCCCAACAAAAATGGCGCCACAAAGGTCCCAAGAGGATCAACTCCTCCTCCTCCTCCTCCTCCTCCTCCTCCTCCTCCTCCTCCTCCTCCTCCTCCTCCTCCTCCTCCTTCGCAGCGGGCTCCAGAGATTGGAAAGTCGTCCAATTCGCATTAGCTCTCGTACTCGCTGCACATTCCACAGGTCGGCTCGAGGCGTGCCAAATACTTTGTTTTTCAACGCCACCACAGCAACAAAAATCCCACGCTCCAGGCGACGTATCTATTGGAAGGCCCAACCGGCCTAATCCAGAATATTTGCTCGTCTTGGCGACCAGGCGCGACAGGCGGCTGCGTGAAGCTGGCGTGCACCTTGAAATGTGCTTCCGAAAGCAAGGCGCGAAACAAGCCAGAAATCCAAGGATCCTGTCGGCTCGTGTGAGGGAGAGTCCTGGGATGGTCGTCCAGAGGTGGTCCTGAAAGACGCTTTTCCATTCGAACCTCTCCCCTTTGCCTGCAGCAAAGATTGAGGAAGAGAGGAGGAGGAGGAGGAGGAGGAGGAGGAGGAAGAGGAGGAGGAGGAGGAGGAGGAGGAGGAGGAGGAGAAGGAGAAGGAGGAAGAGGAGGAGGAGGCGGAGGAGGAGGAATAGACGATTCTCCATCTTTCCCTGCGGCCACACAGGGCCCGAGGTGAATCAGCCCAGACCGTAAACGAGCCGAAGGGAAGCCCCTTCCTTTCAAACCCTTTCCGGCTGGGGGCACCAGATCCCTGGGGGGAGCCCCAGGGGTGGGTCCCAGTAGGGTGGTCCTGGGTGGGGTCCCATGGGGGTCTGGGGAGGGGAGGTGCACCTCCCCCCCACTTCCTAGAGTGACTCGGCGACCTTCGCACAAATTTGCTGATCTTGGGGCCACCTAGGCCCGCTAGAACCCTATCGGGGCCAACCTCCGTACTGTTGCGAGTCGCGCGGTCCGTGTTGCAAAATCGGCTGGATCCCATCAGTTTTTGTGTGATTCGAACATTCTCGCCGCACCACTCGCAAGAGCGTCGAACAAACTCAAGAAACCCCTAAGATGCCTTGAAGACGGCCCCAAGATTGGCCAAGAGGCCCTCAGAGGGGCCCAGGAGGCCCCCGAGAAGCCCTGAAGAGGGGCCAAGAAAGCACGCCACTGTGGCACCGCTGGAAGCCAATCCCTCCAACATGATCAAGAGGCCCCCAAAAGGCCCCCAAGAGGCCCCCAAGAGGCCCACAAGAGGCCCACGAGAGGCTTCGCTACGCACCCATGTTGGCCACAAAAGTCCGAAGGAACCCACGGAGAAGCCCCAAATGATCTCCCCGAATGTCCACCAAATGTCTGTGGAACACGACCAGGCGCAGTGGTGGGATGGGCCGAAGACCATTCGATCTTCGCCCTCGCATTAAAGCCGCCACGACCCTTTGCCCCCGTCCCCAATATGCACCTCGTGCCTCCCGCCCAAGCTTCTGACTTCTCAGAATCAGCGGAACTAGCCGCAAGGCCTGTGCAGTGCACTGGGCAGCCTGGTTGCCAACATCATCCAGAGGAAGGATACTAAGAGGAAACAAAACACAGGAAGAGCGGAGGGGGGCAAGAAAAGAGAAGGCGCATATTCTGCTGGGACGCAACAGGGCAACGCAAATTAGCAGCGCATCTAACGAACTGAACTCGTGAACAACCACGACCACTGAGCGGATATCACCATACAACGGGATGGGCGTACGCAGCACTGGGTGATATGAAACAAATACGAACGTCAACTCAATGTGTGCCCCATATGAGCTGCAAAGGCCCCCAATGGGCTTTTGATTTCCAAACACAAATCAACGCAATCCAAAATGCCGCGACAATGGCCCCCAAGTGGCCAAGATATTGCGCCCATACAAATCGGATGCGCCCCCGAGACAAATCCACGAGGAGGCCGAAGACGGTCGAAAATCGCTAAATGGCAGCCCCAAGACGCCCCCACACGCCCGACTACCTATCATGTTACACTCGTGGACACCAAACATTGTGGCCTAACATACCGCGCGGTGCAATATATATATATATACATACATACATATATACATACATACATACATACATACATACATACATACATACATACATACATACATACATACATACATACATACATACATACATACATACATACAATACATACATACATGCATACGTACATACATACATATATACGTATATACATATATACATACATACATACATACATACATACATACATACATACATACATACATACATACATACATACATACATACATACATACATACATACATATATGGTACAGTCTACGCGATGCAAAATGGGTGGCGTAAGCTACGTGGTGAGACCTGCGTGAAGCAATATACGTGGGGCAATTTCTGTGGTGCAATATACGCTGTGCAATGTATGTGGTGCAAACACTACGGTGCAACCTACGTGGTGAATTCCATGCCGATGTCAAGTTGCCAACACAATTGCTTGCGCAATCATCCAGGCCACCCACCCGCAACTTGGTTTGAAAACCCATGCGGCGGCGATTGCGATGGCTGCTTGGCGTTGGCTGGCGCACCGCTGCGGCCGCGCTAACGCGCGCAAGCTCGCGTGCACAGCGGCCAAGTCTCTGGCACGACCGACGCGGCAGCGGTGGCAGCGACCGCCGGGGACTTCCCTGCGCGTCTCGAAAGCCGCGCTGATGCGCGGGAAGTTCACTGCGAGCCGGTGACTTGGGCGGGACAAGTACCGTGGCGACGTCGACAACGGCAGACACGATATTGATAGCAGCGATGATGGTAACGATGACGACGGCAAGGCCCCCGAGGTGGCCGATGCTGATCACGCCGACGCCGACGACGATGATGGCGCCCACACGTCGGCGACGAAGGTTTCGGGGCGATTTCGACATGCGCGCGACGCGGTACACGGGCGCGAATGGCACGCATTGTCACATTTGCCAAGGATCGCGCCCCACCCACCCACCCACCCACCCACCCCACCCACCCACCCCAAGCATGCGCGCGAGGGCGTTCGAATGATTTTCACACGCGCGCGAGGGAGGGAGGCCCGCTTGGTCGCAAACAATGGGGAGACGTTGAAAAAATGTACTCTAAAGAAAGCAGACACCGCGCACAGAAAGAAGTCGCAAGCTCGCGCGCAAACTGCAGTGGAAGAAAGTGCGCCGCAACCGAATACATGGCGTTTATATATATATATATATACACATATATATATACATATATATATACATATATATATATATATATATATATATATATCTCCGGTATCGAGCACCTACAGCTCGAAAGCCGCACGACATCGAACTACTTTGGAATCGTCGGCACGCGCGCGCTGACGTTGCTCCTTTTTCCCCCGCCGAGGACGATTGCATGCAAATGTGTTGTGATAAAGGAGTGCGCGCGCATAGTACTTGACAGGGACGATTGGAGGCGGTCGGTAAACGGCGCCAGAGAATCTCTGATGACACGAGTTCATACGCGAAACGGACGATGGGAAAATAACACAAGCAAATTGAACCACCATAAGAGAGGTTACGCCAGAGGCGGGAGTTGGTAGATCCGAACTTCCGATAAGAAGGGGGGGCACCTAGGCGGTGCAACTTGCGCAATGCAAACGAACTACATCACGCCATCCATGAGGTACTGAATGCGCGGGGCAATCTATCTCAAGCACGCCATGCGCCGCACCCTACGTAGTTCAATCGAATTTGCAGAGCTTGACGATGTCAACCGCACTGCTCGCGCAATCATCCAAACCGCCAACCCGCAACTTAGTTTGTGCAAAACCTACGCGGCTGCGATTGCGGCGGCTGCTGGGCGCTGGCTGGCGCATCGCTACGGCCGCGATAACGCGCGCAGGCTCGCGTGCAGAGCGGCCGCTCAGTCTGGCGCGACCGACGCGGCCGCGGTGGCGCTGGCCACAAGGAACTTCCCAGCGCGTCTCGCCGGCCGCGCGCGCGAAAACTTCAGCGCGAGGCGGCGACTCGGGCGGGCGCGTCACCATGGCGACGTCGACAACGTCACACACTACATTGATAGTAGCGACGACGGCGGCGACAATGCCGAAGACGATGGCAAAACCGACGACGGCACCGACGCGGGCCACGCCGATGGCGGATGGCGCGCACGCCTCGGCGACGAAATGCTTCGGGGGGATTTCGACGCGGGCGCGCGGCCGACGCGGGCGAGTGGCCCGAATGACACTTGTTGGAGACGGAGAGAGAGAGAGGGGGGGGAATCTATATATATATATATATACATATATATAACAAAAAAACGATTGAGTTTCGGCACGCGCGCGCGGAGAGATCCGCTCGGTCGCTTTGTTCCAAACAACAGCTAACACACACACTCACACACACACAAGTTTCCAGAAGAATTGGCAAGAGCGCGCCCAAAGTCTGTTCTAACATTCATTGCAGAAACATTTGGGCGTTTTACGTTTCGGGAACATCGATCCTAACATCCCCGCAGAACCTTGAAGTGTTTGAAGCGTTCCGCATGCGCGCGCGACGCCGCCTGTTGCAAGGGACTCTTGGATACAAACGATTTGCGGTACGCTAGCGGGCGGGAAGAGGGGGGGGCGGCAAGGGCCCCCCTCGGATGCCACGAAGATATATCCAAAAGGACAGACGGGGCAGGCCCACGCGCAAATTGGGCCATCCAAGGGGAGGCGAAAGATCTAGTGGGGGGACGGGGGATGGTAGATCCGACCTGTTTAAAAGGGGAACGCACGCGGTGCCACCTGCGCGGCGCGGTGCTATCTGTGCGGCGCACTCTATGCGGCACAACGCATATGGGACAATCAACTTGAAGCACCCTACGCGGCGCACTCTACGCGGCGCAGCTCACCCTGCAAAACTACAAGTTCCCTAGTCTGTCGCAAGGGCTTTCTGGACAAGAACGGTTCGTGATCGACGAGTGCGCGCGCATAGTATTATGGCAAGAAAGAGAGGGAGGGTCGAGAACGGTGAAATATGGGGCAGAATCAGCCATGCACTGCGCTACCCCAAGGGGGCGAGAATTAGGGAAGGGGGGAGGTACATTCTGATCCCTTTAAAAAACAAGTTCTGTTCGCGGCGATTCGTCAAACCACTGCCCACGATATCGCCCCACGCGCCAAGCCGCGATTTGGTCCGCAAAACCCACGCGGGGGCGCTTGCGATGGCCGCTCGGCGCTGGCTGGCGCATCGCTGCGGCCGCGCTGGCGCGCTCAGGCTCGCGCGCACAAAAGCCAGCAAGTCAGGCGCGACCGCCGCGGCGGCAGTGGCAGCGACCGCCGTGCACTCCCCAGCGCGTCTGGCAGGCCGCGCTGCCGCGCGACCGCTTCCGCGCGAGTCGGTGACTCGGGCGGGCGCTGCGTCACGGCGACGTCGACAAAAGCAGAAACAATAAGATAGTAGCGACGCGGGCAACGATGATGACGATGACGACGGCACGGCCAATGACGGCGCCGATGCTTGATTTTGATGCTGCCTACGCGTCGGCGATGAAGGTTTTGGCCAGATTCGGGCACGCGCGCGCGGTCGACGGGCGCGAGTGGCCCGCGTAGCGCTATTTCACAGAGATCGCCCCAACCCAGCATGTGCGCGAAGGCGCTCGAACGATTTCGACACGCGCGCGCGAGGCACGCCTGGTCGTGCTCGACGAAAGTCGGTCCTTCCAAATACGGTTTGCATAAGAATTTGCCAAACCCCGCGCCGATATGATTGGACAGCGTTAAACCATTGCTCATCATATGTTCTGGAGACATCGATCTTGAAACCATCGAAAAATCGAATGAATGGTTGTTGGCACACTGGCCCGCCGCCAACGTACCATTCTGCAGAAAACACCCCCCTTAGGGGTGCTATGAATTCGTTGTTAAACGAACAACGCGGGAGAGCCATATGTAATCTGCACGATTCCCAAAACGACATGGGGGGCCCTGGGGGGCGGGGCAGACCCAAAGAGCACACACGTGGCGCGCAAGTCACCCCGCCGAACAGGAACTTCGCAGCGCAAGTGCTCGCCAAATCATCCACGGCAGGTTCGCGTCGTGTCGACCCCGGCGTTGGTTTCTGACACCGCGGGGATCGTTCAACCTTGAACGATCGGCCGTTTCCGAAACGTCCAAATCGTTCCACATCGAACGACTCTGGGTCCCCCGCGGCGTTCAAGGTTGAACGCCGCTGACGGGGTCGCCGCCGGTCGACACGACACGAACCTACCGCACACGCACACACACCTACCCGCGACTTGGTCCGCAAAACCCACGCGGCGGCGACTGCAAATGGCCCCTCGACGCGCTGGCCGGCGCCTCTTGCCACGGCCGCCCTTTTGCGGGCGCAGGCCCGCGCGCGGAGCGGCCATGGCTAGCCTGGCGCGACCGACGCGGGCGAGAGGGGGCGCGGACGGTTCTGAAGGGGCCCGGGGGCACAAAAATAAAGACACACAAATACAAAGATTCCCCATATTTTCCTATATTTTTTGGATTTTCGTCTTCCCCCCCCCACTTTCCATATTTTTTCCCATATTTTCTGGGGGATCGACGATTCATTGTGTCTGTGTTTTTTCCCCTCCTGAGGTTGGGCACGCCCCAGCGCGTCTGGCAAGCCGCGCTGACGCGCAGGCATTCCAGTGCGAGTCGGTAGTTCGGGCGGGCGAAGCATCATGGCGACGTCGACAGCGGCAGCCACGATGTTGAGAATAGCGATGCTGGTGACGACGATAACGGAGACGACGGCAAGGCCGATGACGGCGCCGATGCTGATCACGCCGATGACGATGATGCTGCCCACGCGTCGTCGCTGAAGGTTTTGCAAAGATTTCGACATGCGCCCGCGGCCCACGGGCGCGAGTTGCCCGCATGGTGGCATTTGACGGGGATCGTGCCCCCCAGCACGCGCGCTAGGGCGTTCGAATGATGTTGACATGCGCGCGAGAGGCCCGCTTGGTCGAATGTCATGAAAATCCTGAAAGCCCAACCTGGGATGTTTGCTGATTCGCAAGAGCGCGCGCGACTCCTTATTCTGATGAAAAGTTATGTTGCGAAAGCATTGTGTTTTACGTGTTTTCGGGACACTCGATCTTGAAATCCCAACGAAACCTAGGGTGTTGAAAGATTCTGGCGTGCGCGCGCGACGACGCGCACGTGTGGACTTTGTCATATGGGATTTGTGCAATTGGATGATTCGTAATAGAGAATCGCGCGCGCATGATATTATTCGACGAAGACGACCGGGGGGTCGAACCCAGCCTGGCCAGAATGGTACGAATTCATTGCTAAGATGAACGATGAGGCAGAATCACAATGAATCGCACATTCCCAGGGCGGGCGGATAAAACCAGAAGGGGGAGGTCGATCCCACTCTTTTAAGAACCGAAAATCTACGAGGCTCGCACAGACAAAATTGCGACCAAAAATGCGGCGGCGACGGGAAGCGGCGACGAGCGGTCACGTGCCGGCCAGGCCGACACACTGTTTGCATCGGCAGCTGGGCAGAGAGCGACTGCCCCGGCGTTTTGGCAACAGGGGGCACACCAGACCGACACACGGGCACAGACGGACGGCGGCGACGGGCTGCGACGGGCGGCTGCCTGCCGGCCGGACCACCGTCGCATGCCCTGGCCCGCGGAAGGCAAAAACTAAGAGACCCCAAAGGCAAGCACTGCTGGGGGAAGAAGCCGTCGCAGGACACCAGAAGGGGCGCCAAGGTGGCTCCGGGAGGCTCCAAGCGGGCCCCGAGAGGGCCAACGAAGGCCCCAGGAAGGCCCGAAAGCGTCCCCGCAACGGTTCCACGACAAGCCATTCCCTCGAACACCAACTGGCTGGACGACTTGCGTGCTACACGCTCCGCTGGGGGGCGGAATAGCGGAAGCCCTCTCAGACAAAAGCGCTCGGTGTCATCACGATTTTGCTCTGCCCCTCTGAGGTGCGAGGACGAGATTTGTCCCGAACCACCGCCTGGGGGATCAGTCGTCGGAGACGTCGGCGGGCGGTGGATCCGGACAGACTTGGCCCCTCCACGGCCCGAACCTATCCATATGAAGGGGCCCTGGGACACACAAATTAAGACGCACAAATAACAGGATCCCCCATATTTCCCCACATCTTCTAGGACCTTGTCTTCCCCCCACTTCCCATAGTTTCCCATATTTTCTGGGGAATCGACGATGAATTGTATCTGTGTGATTTTTTCCATCCTGACCATGTCCACCGCCCGCCAAGGTCCCCGAAGGTCGATCCCGCGGGCAGGTGGACGTGAATCGGCCGCGCGCCCAGGGGGTAAGGCAGAGGGGGCGGGCCTTTCCCCTCCTCCTCCTCCTCCTCCTCCTCCTCCTCCTCCTCCTCCTCCTCCCTCCTCCTCCTCCTCCTCCTCCTCTCCTCCTCCCCTCTCCTCCTCCTCCTCCTCCTCCTCCTCCTCCTCCTCCTCCTCCTCTTCTTCCTCGTAGACGGCTCAGAAGGCATCTGGCCTTCCGAGAAGGTCTCTGGGCCTTCTCCAGCGACCGCCGACGGCTTCGAGACTCCCGCCGCCTTCCGAGAAGGCCTGCCCCCCATGGCTTCCCCCCTTCTGGGGAAACCACGAGGCACTGATACCGCTACTCCCCAGACCTCTCCCCGGGTGCGTTCTGGCCAGGATTTCGCGGCGAATCCAGCGGTGGCGACGAGGGCCTCCCGGGAGGCACAAGGAGAGGAAAACGGCCGAAGGGCAGACGTATGGGTACCTTTCCCTCCTCGGAGCTTCCCCCCTCGGGGGCCGCCTTCCGAGAGGGCCCGCCCTGGCCGAGGGCTCCGCACGTTGCCTCCGCGTGGCCTCGGGACGACTTCTGGACAGACCACACCAGACGGCGCGCCCGGACGGCCCAGGAGGAGGCCTTCGAGAGGGCCCCCCAAAAGAGAGGCAGCCGCTGGAGGGGCCCCGGGGCCCAGGTCAAGGGAGCCGAACCTCGTGAGGGCTCCAAAGGCTCTCACGGGGGGCCCAGAGGTTGTCCAAGAGGGCCTCCGGACAACCCTACACCGCTCTCCCTTCCTCCTCCTCCTCCTCCTCCTCCTCCTCCTCCTCCTCCTCCTCCTCCTCCTCCTCCTAATCATCCTCACTCCCTCTATGCCTCCTCCTCCTCTTATTCCTCATTTCATTCATTCCTCATTCCTCATTCCTCATTCCTCATTCCTCATTTCCTTCCTCATTCCTCATTCCCCATTCCCCCTCCTCCTCCTCCTCCTCCTCCTCTCCTCCTCCTCCTCCTCCTCCTCCTCCTCCTCCTCCTCCCTCCTCCTCCTCCTCCTCCGCCTCTCTCCTCCTCCTCCCCTCCTCGCCCCCCCCCCTCCACCCCTCCCCTCACCTCCCCTCCCCTCCCTCCTCCCTCCCTCCCTCCCTCCTCCTCCCCCCCTCCCCAAGATAGCCTCAGGGACCCAAAGACCAGGACGCTGCAGACCAGGACTCCGAAGACTCCGGCGGAAGAGAGAGAGCGCGAGGAATGGCGAGTATTGCGACCCACGGCCGCAGGCTCTCTTCTCGGGCGAGTCGACGCCTGATGACTCGTCGGAGACCCCCATTGTAGAGGGGGCCCGGCTGGCCCCCAGGGAGGGCCAAGACAGGAGGCACAGAGGGCGTATACGCGCGGCACGGCAGTGCATAGACAAGCGCGTTCCACTGCTCGCAGAGTAGCTGCTCGCGAGCGGCCGAGATCCATTGCATCGAGGCAAGCAAGCTCCAAAAAACACACTGTGGGGGGAAAAGCACACTGTGTGTTTTTTGTGTGTGCTTTTCCCCAGTCTGCTTTTTCCCCACAGCATCGAGCATCCTATGTTTTTGGACGCTTGCGAGTAGGCACTCTGCGAGCAATGGACCGCGCCGGGTGCGTGCAGCCGGACGCGTCCCAGCGATTCTCTGCGGAGCGCACGGCGCGCCACGGCACGAGCACAATGCCAGCTGCGCACGTCCGACCCGGCGGCAGCCCACCGCACGGGCGCGGCACCACGAGGTGATGAGCACGGCAGCGGGAGGGATCCGGTAGAGGGAAACAGTTACTGGAACACCCCCCCCCTCTCCCCCGAACTCAATGTTGGCGCGCGCGGGGGAGACTGGAAGCGTGCACGAGACAAAGAAATCCCGAATCTCGCCCTCAACGAGGGCGGCATCCTCCGAAAGCTCAGTGTCAGCCTGGCTGGCCGACTCTGCACACACCTGCAATACACTGGCACTGATGCCCTTGGCGATCGCCAGGCATATACCTGGAGGATAAGTCTTCTTGGACGCGGTGAGAAAACGGCCCTGGTCCAGCACATGAACCTCGTGCACGCTTCCACGGTCGAAGTGCCTCTCATCAGACCCACCGCCAGCTTTGAACCATTGGGGGGAGGGGGAGGCGCTGATGGATGAGTGTGGCATGTGTTCGCTGATCTGTTCCGGGGCCCGTCGGGCCGATCCTTGCAGCCGTCGGGGAACAAGAGGAGCAGCACCCTGCCCAGCAGCTTTCACTCTCGGCCCAACCGATCCCACCCTTCGGGCCCCGTATGGCGCTCGCTCTCCTGGGGAACTGTCGAGTGCACACGAGTCTCCTTCAAGACGCGTGGTGCGCATCGATCTAACTTTGAATTAACACGAGCGTGACAAAATGTTGCCCGCCTGACTCGCCGTCGACCAGTGTAAGCAGCAACACGCTGCAGAAAAGCTGGTTAACAAAAAAAACATCCGCATGATGCCATGCGGAGAGGCGGCCTTTGGCAACATCACTGATGTTGACAAGTTTACAAGGCCTGAGTTCACCCTCGCGATCTCTGTCCCAGCCATTAAAACAGATATATCACGCCTCAGATCAGAATGGCACTGGACTGATGAAAGACGTCCCAGAACGCCGCATCCACTTTCGTGGGGTTGCAGCTTGACGGGAAGATGGAGTAGCCAGCCTTCTTCTCCACATCAGAAACTGAATTGAGAATGTACTTGCCGTCCTTAGTGATGCCGCATTCCTTGCAGTCCGTGTTTTCGCCAAGGAATGCAACGGACTGACCACTCTTCACATCACAGAGAGCCTTGTAATAGTACTCTGGGACGGCATCGCCTTCAACCATGGTGGGGCGATCCGCCTGAATCACACCTGTGACGACGTAGAGCTCAACGTTGTGATTGATGCAAAACTCCCGCGTGTGCTTCTCAACAAAAGCCCATGGGTGCTCGTTAAAGTAGGAACCCTGCGGTGCAACGTTTGTCATCATGTAGGTGTGTGCCCAAGCGCCATCATCGGACTGATCCCATGTGAAGGCATTGCTGGGAGCTAAATGGCCGATGTCATGCGTCGAATCGAATGCCTTGTCCTTAGAGTGCGCCTGCTGGTCTGCCGGTACATCTGGATCGAGGGTGAAGCCTTTGCGCTTATACGCGTCATGCTTCTGCTCCTCCGGCTTCAGTAGGTAAGCTGAGAACTTGGGACAGCGGATCTTCGTGTCGTAGACGGTTGCAAAGAATGTTTTGTTACCTTTCTTTCTGCACAAGAATGTGCCCTCTGTGTCTGGCACCTTACCTTCGACAAAGTGCTCACTGCATTCCTTGGCAGCGGCAGTTGTTGCTAGGGTGCTGGACTGATGAAAGACGTCCCAGAATGCCTCATCCACTTTCGTGGGGTTGCAGCTTGACGGGAAGATGGAGTAGCCAGCCTTCTTCTCCACATCAGAAACTGAATCCCACCAGCCCTCTGGGCGTAGGTGGTCTAGAGCAGATCCTCTTCCACCCCTCCCTCTTCCCCCTTGGGGAGGGGTTTACCCCTCCCCCTACCCCCTCCCCTGGACCTGGACGGGGGGGGCCGCGGGTAGTTAGAGCGTCCAAGATGGCCCAAGACGGCTCCAAGAGCGCCTCAGAGAACCCAAGATGAGCTCCAAGATGGCTCAAGATAGCGCAAGATCGCTCACGATGGCTCCTAAGATGGTTCCAAGAAGCCCAAAGACGGCCCCAAGATAACTCCAAGTGGCCAAACAGCTCCCCAAGGAGGCCCCGAAGAGGCCAAAATCGTCCCAAAACCTAAGGAAAATCAATGATTTTTGCTTTCTCGCCTTTTCGCTTCCGATGGCCATCCGAGGCCTGGAGATGGCTCCAAGATGGCCCAAGAGGGCCCCAAGAGAGCCCCAAAAGAGCCCCAAGACGGCCCCAAGAGCGCCCAAGAGCACTCCAAGAGCGTTCCAAGAGGGGTCCAAGAGGCGATTTTAGGGGCTTCCGAGGGGGGACGCTAATTAAACCCCCCCTCTTGTTTGATCGACTCCCTCCAAGATGGCCCCAAAAGCGCCCCGAAGGCTCCCCAGAGCGCCTCAAGAGGGTCCCAAGAGGCGCCCAAGATGCCCCAAGGCGCCCAAAAAGCCCTCCAAGAGGCCCTCAAAAGACCCCCAAGAAGCTCCTTCCCCTCCTCCTCCTCCTCCTCCGATTCTTCCTCCTTCTCCGTCCTCCTCCTCCTCCTCCTCCTCCTCCTCTTCCCCCTCCTCCTCCTCCTCCTCCGACGACGACGACGACGACGACGACGACTCCTCTTCCATCCTCCCCCTCTCGGGGTCTGTGACAGCTTCCCCCGCCCTTTGTTATTCTGCATGCTCCCCGACTTCCCTGATCACCTCAACTCCCCTGAGCATCGTTTCTGGATGGGCTGGTGGGGATACGCGAAGCGTCAACAATTGAGAATGTACTTGCCGTCCTTAGTGATGCCGCATTCCTTGCAGTCCGTGTTTTCGCCAAGGAATGCAACGGACTGACCACTCTTCACATCACAGAGAGCCTTGTAATAGTACTCTGGGACGGCATCGCCTTCAACCATGGTGGGGCGATCCGCCTGAATCACACCTGTGACGACGTAGAGCTCAACGTTGTGATTGATGCAAAACTCCCGCGTGTGCTTCTCAACAAAAGCCCATGGGTGCTCGTTAAAGTAGGAACCCTGCGGTGCAACGTTTGTCATCATGTAGGTGTGTGCCCAAGCGCCATCATCGGACTGATCCCATGTGAAGGCATTGCTGGGAGCTAAATGGCCGATGTCATGCGTCGAATCGAATGCCTTGTCCTTAGAGTGCGCCTGCTGGTCTGCCGGTACATCTGGATCGAGGGTGAAGCCTTTGCGCTTATACGCGTCATGCTTCTGCTCCTCCGGCTTCAGTAGGTAAGCTGAGAACTTGGGACAGCGGATCTTCGTGTCGTAGACGGTTGCAAAGAATGTGTTGTTACCTTTCTTTCTGCACAAGAATGTGCCCTCTGTGTCTGGCACCTTACCTTCAGCAAAGTGCTCACTGCATTCCTTGGCAGCGACAGCTGCTGCCAGGGTGATGAAAATCGTGAGCGAAGAAGCCATTGCTGCGATTGCTAAGCTGTTCCGCTCAAAGAGCTGACGACTTGCCAAGGCCACCCTGAACCAAAATGACTCTTTTCTGCACTGCACGAACCATGCTGCCGGCCTCCCAAAACTCAGCGCCTGAAAGCGAAATACCAGAAATGCTTATGCATTACTGTGCCAGCTACCAGCACTCCCCATCCAGAGGCCGCGACGATTGGCTCCCCAGAGCACCATTGCAAGCCAGGGCGCCCAGATCTTCGAAAGCAGCCTGCAAGCGAAAATAAAACTCCCCCTCGGGCCCAAACAGGATGAAAGCCGTGCTGCTTCTGAGCAGCTTCGGCGCCCCAACTCGAGGCCTCCTAGATGGGGTTGGAGTAGATGGGGTCGGAGGATCGCGCCGCATCGCCGATACATTGGCGATGCATCGGTAATGCGCCAGCGATGCATCGTCGACGTCAGCGGCGCATCGGCGGCGTCGGCGTGAGGCAAATCGGGCTCCGCATCGAGCCGCATCGGCGATGCATCGGCGATGCGGAGCGATCCTTCGACCCCATCTGCTCGGACCCCATCTAGGAGGCCTAGACCAAAGCCCCGAGGGGGGCCCCTCTGGGGGCACCTCTGGGAGACCTGCGCACCGCCACCGCTCCTGGCCGAGCCCATTCCGGGCCCACGGTCTCCCTCACCTCCGACGCCACGACCTCTTCGCGACGCGGGCCCCCTCCGAACTCTCGGCCGCACCCCCGGGACCGGTCCTCCACCGCGGAGCACCGGCTGCCCCAGAGGCCAACATGGCTGAGCAACGCCCAAGGCTCAGAGCGATCATGCTGCGGCGCCTTGAGGTCTGGGCTGGGCCGGCAACGGCTGGAGACGGTGCATCGTTGGCGCCCCCCCCCGTGCTCCTGGGCTGCCTCTGGACGTCGGCGAGGGGCGAGTTGAGGGAGGAGCGGCAATCGGGTGTTGCTGGAAGTGCCCCTGACCCAAGATGCCCCAAGATTTCCAAGGAGGCCCCCACGGTCTCCAAAGGACCCCATCACGAAACCCCGAGGGCCCCAGGGGCTCCGACAGTGAGCCAAATGCTGGGGGCAACTTTGCCCAGGGACACCTTTAGCAACCCCGAGTCAAGGCGCAGAGGGGGCGGAGAGAGGCCAAGGCGGCCGACGGAGGAAGACGGCGTGGCAATGGCGCCCTGCCCTCCCATGCCCGCCGGCTTCCTCTCCTCGCTCCTCCTCCTTGGGCCTGGCGCCGCCCCTCCAGGCAAGCCTGCCCTTCCCCCTCCTCCATCCACTGGTTTCGTTTCCTCCCCTGCCCTTCCTCGCTCCCTCCCTACGGTTCCATCCTTTGATCTCTCCCTACTTGCTACCTCATGAACCACCCTTCGGGTGATACCTTCGGGTGATACCATGCTACATGCTACCGCATAGACGTTGCGAAGGAAAGAGATTGAATTTCGATGCCGTGTCGATTACGAGTAGATTCGCATGAAAGATTGATCTTCGATGGCAGTTGGTTATCCAATACAATGTGCATTCAGACTGCGTCTGGATCTGCATTACGACGGGCGCGTTCGGTAAGCATTCCGAATACAGATGGACGTACATGATTTTGCATGTCGATGTGCATGTATGTTTGTTGTACGATCTGCATCAAAATGTGAAGTGTTAAGCGCAGTCCAACTTAGAGTATGATTGTAATGGTGGTTTGGATGTTTGATATGCATTTCGATTGCACGTATGTTTGCATATGACTCGCATTCCACGCATACACATGATTCCGTATCGTCGATGAGCCCTAGCCAAATGCGACACATGTAACTACAAAGCGGCGAAAGAGAGGTGACGGCGATGCCCTTTTTGTAGGTGGCGGTGCGCAGAGCCTGTACGCAGCGCTCCTGCCACTCCCAGAAAATCGAAGCACCAAGGTGGTTGTAAGTGGATGCATGTATGTATGTATAACAAAACACGAAAAACAAAACAAACAATAAAAGGAGGAGGAAGAAAGAAGAAGAAGAAGAAGAAGAAGAGGAGGAAAAAAAAAAATGAACCGAAATGGCCACAAACGTCGACAGGGGAAGAGGATACACATTAGCGCTGAGCCCTACCAGCGGCGCGATAGCGGGAAAAGGGGAAGAGTGAGGTGACGGCGATTCCCCTTTCATGGGTGGCGGCGCCCAGGGGCCTGCACGCAGGGCACCTGCCGCTCCCAGGAACTTGATACCCCCTCCCTGCGATGGGGGCGAATCACAAGTAACAGCGAAGGAGGGAACACAGGGGCGGCGATGGGGGGATGCTGGGGCCCCCCGCGCCCGACGCTGCTAGCGCGGGGGGGCCCGACAGCCTTCTCACCTCGCCCCTACTTCCCTCCTCTTTCACGACGCCGCCCCCTGCGCACGGCGCTCGCACACGCACAGCGGCCGAGAGGCGCGGCCCCGAGGAACCCATCGAGCCTCCACGGGGCCCCCCAGCGGCCGAAGCCCTCCTCCCACCCAAACCCCCGCGCCCGCCACTGGCGGGGGGGCGAGGGCCCCCCAAGGGACGGAGGGGGGGGCCCTCCCGCCGCGGCGGGGCCCGCCGGAGGGCGGCGGCCTGAGACCGCCTCGTAGACCCGCAGAAAGGCCCCAGGCCCGAACCCAGCTCACACCAGGGAGGCCCTCGCCCATAGAGGTGGCCGCATGGGTTCCCGGGGGAAATGCGGGATCGGGGGGGCCCCCCCAGGAGCGGGAAAGTTTGTGGACTTGGGTGCGCCAAGGCCTTTAGGCCAAGCACCCCCTCAATGAATAGGCCTCGGCTCGCCTCTGAAGGCGACCGAATTCCCGCTCGATTATAACTGCACGCGCATACCGTTCGCAATCGACGACGACGAAGGTGAGGAGGAGCGGGCGCGCAAGGAGTTCCCGGGGCCTCTTGGCGCATCTTGGGAGCCTCTTCGGGGCCCGTCGGGCCCTCTAAAGAGCCTGTTGGGAGCCTACTGGCGGTCTCGGGGATCTTTGCGTGAAGGGCTCGAACTTGCGGTTCGTGTTCCCCCTCTTGAAGCCCTCTGGGCCGTCTTGGGGGCCTAGGGGGTCGTCTCGGGCTGACCAAAGCCGTCTTTTTTTTTCGCCCTCATGCAACCTAACACCAGTGACACCACTGCTACATCTCATCTGTGGTGCACCCGACCGCCGCGGCCAGCACCGCAGCCGCGCAACGCCGCCACATCGCCCGCCAGGCGGCCAAGGAGAACTAGAGCGCCATGCAAGATATAATCTACGCAGCGCAGCTGCACTGGCAGGGGGCGCCCCCCCACGCGCCGGCCACGCCGAAGACCGCGGGGCGCCCGCCCTTGTAAAAAAAAAAAAAAAAGGAGCGCCCATCAGCGCACCGACCGTCACCCAGCCTCCAAATCCGCCGATCCGGCGCGTGAGTTTCTGAGAGCGTGGACTTGAGCTCGCTCCAGCTTCGCTCTGCAGAGGGGGGGGGGGGGGGGGCACGTTATTTCCGACGTCATCTCCAACGTTTTTCAGCACCGGGGGACAGGGGGGCATAGAAAACTCCACTTCCGGAGCCCCCCCGGATCGGCGGCACTGGCCGGAGGCCAGCCCAATAATGGCACTGACACGGAGTGCACCTCTCGGGGGGGCGGAGGCGCCACGGGAGGCAAGCGCGAGCGCTTCCAAGACAAGTTGCGCTACCGAGGAGTCCCACAGACTTACGTGGTCACGCCGCGTGTGTCCACGTACCAGGTCATGTGCTGCTGCCGCATCTGCTGGGCATGGGTTGTGTCGGGTACCACATACCACTGCATACTGGCGGCTTGGCATCTGCATACGCAGATGTTTCCGCGTGCCCGACTTGCCAATCGCATCCGGCAGGACGAAACAGACGCACCGCAAGCATGATGGACGGCGAGTCTTAAACGTCGAGAATGCCTGGTCATCCCCTGTCAAGATGAAGTGCAGCTGACTTTCAGTGCAATCAAAATCCTGATCGGCGATGCCATAGTGCCTGGCCGCCAACTGTAAAGTCTTCACCACCTCAGATGTGGATTCGAATTGCAACATTTTCAGCGTACTCAGGAAAGCAGGGATAGACATGCTCCGCTGTTGGATCTGGTTATTGCGAAGCAGCACCAAGAATCTGTCAACAAGGCCCTTGATGTTGTGTCGGTCATCGAAAGCGCCCTTCAGGCTCAGGGTCCAAAGAACTGAGAGCACTTGCGGGCTGGTTAGCGCTGGGATTGTCGTTTTAACAAGGGGGGAATGTATAGTGAGTCGCAATATACGCCCAGGAGGGCTGTATTTTTGACCATGTAAATTGTGTCGAGCGATGAGATGTCGGATGTATCCCTCTGGGCTATTTGCATGAACAGGATCTTACACCACATCAGCATCCCTAATTTCATTCGGGTCTGCGGCTGCTTCTGATGCGTTGTTGAGAGTGGCCCTTGCCAAACATATGATTTCCCGTCGCACTGTTAACATGACCTTGCCACTGTTTCGGAGCTCGCTGGCAACCAGCTGGGCATCTCCTGTGGCAGCGTTGGCTTTGACGATCTCGTCTTCCTCTTGAACCTGCCAAGATGGGTACAGTCTGTTCCATCTTCTTACCAAACCTCTGTCGATTTGCACCGTCCTTACTGCACTGTGACCTTTCCTGCAAGACATCCTGATACCATACTGGTCTTCAACGCCGCGTTTCACTAGATATACGGAATACGTGTTTACCAGGTCAGCGCGTATTGTGCACAGGGTTAAGTATTTCGCGTAAGAGTCCGGCACCCTGTTGACGCTCTTCATTGCAAGTGGACCATATACCGATGGTTTGCGGGCCACCATGATCTTGAGGTCAAAAAACAAATACTTAGAACACGCTTCCACAATGTTGGCGACGCTGTGGCCCCTGTCTCCACATGAAGTAAGAAGGCCTGGGAAACGCGGAGCAAGGAGTCCAGAATATTTTGTCAGTTTGAAGATTTCGGTCCGCCCTGCTCAGCCCAAACACGACTTCGGCCAAACCAGCAGTCTGCTTGTGCTGTATCAAATCGGGCAAGGCTTCCAGGGCTGTAATGGTCGCGTGCTCTAGGAGGAGGACCCGCTAGTCTCTGGAGAGGGCCACGGCGATGACGTCCTGCAGGCACCCCACCGAATATGCCAGATTGCCCAAGTAGTTCCCCCGCTCAGACCACGACTCGTGACTTGCCTGGCGACTCTTGAAACTGCTGCTAGATTTCCACGCAGGAATATCGCTCATGACTGTCAAGAGCAACTCCCTGAACGCACGATTCTGTCCCAATTCCGATGGCACGAACTTTAGTTCCGCTAGACGGAACAAAATCGCAACCCTGTGCAACATGTTAAGGTCGTCTGACTCAGCCAGAGGGAGGAGCTCATCGTAAGTCCGTGCTTCCTGGGCACTCTTCATAAGCATTGCGGGCGACATGTAGAAGCACCGCACGTCTCCAGCGCACCTCTGATGTCCACCGCGTCGCGGCCATTTCCCTGCCCACGAGCTGGACTGCATGTGAGCTTCTGGAGGGCAACGTACCGAATTCATCTCATGCGCGAAGCTGCACAGACGCTGCGATAAACGCCAAGACGCGGCAGCCGCCATTGCGATTGAAAGCAGCTCCATGACGCGCCGTCGGCGATGCATCGCCATGAGCGCGACGAGTGGGGTACGAACAGAACAGAAAAAGACTGATGCGAAGGTCCGTCGACTTGGGCCCAAACGGCTTGAGCCAAAATGACTACGGTTTGGGCTGACCAAGACCATCCTTGGATGCGCCACACGCCGGTCTTGTGCTCCGGGGGCGACTGGAGGGGCTCTCCCGCTCTATTAGGGGAAGTCCCTCCCCCTGCCCCGCGAGGGGCGAGATCGTCCAAGGTGGCTCACGGTGGCTCCAAGATGGCCTCAAAGAGTCCAAGAGGGACTACAAGACGACCCAAGACAGTACAGGATGGCAAAAAGGGGCTTCCATCGTGCGTCCAAGAGGCCCCAAGACGGCCCCAAGACGGCCTCAAGCGATCACGGAGCCTCCCAAGGAGGCCCCAAGAGGTCCAAATCTGTACAAAGCAATGTGTTTGGCCTTCTCGCCCTTTCGCTTCCGATGGGCCTTCCGGCCCTCAAGACGACTCCAAGATGGCCCAAGCGGGCCCCCAAGAAAGGCTAAAGAGAGCTCGAAGACGGCCCCAAGAGCAAACAAGAGCGCCCCAAGAGAGTCCGAAAAAGCAGCTTTGGGGGCAAGGGGCGGGGCTAATAACGAAAAACAAAAAAATCTTGATCGGTGGCCTCCAAGATGACCCCAAGAAGGCCCAAAAGGCCCCGAAGAGGGCCCCTGGAGAGCTCCAAGCGGGCCCCACGGGCCTCCAACGCTGCCCCGGGAGGGCCCAAGAAAGCTGCTCTAAGAGGCTATATCATCGAAAGATCCGCGAAAGTCCCTCCTCCTCCTCCTCCTCCTCCTCCTCCTCCTCCTCCTCCTCCTCCTCCTCCTCCTCCTCATACTCCTCCTCCTCTTCCTCGCGGTCCATGGACTTGGCGGGCGGTCGCCGAATCCACGGATCGGGGGGGGGGGGCCCTCCCCAAAATGCGGCCTGCGCCGCCTCGCTCGGGGGCGGAAGCCCGCGACTTCCCCTGGAAACGGGACCCGCCGCTGATCCACGCCCCCTAGGAGGAGGAGGAGGAGGAGGAGGAGGAGGAGGAGGAGGAGGAGGAGTAGGAGTAGCAGGAAGAGGAGGAGGAGCAGGAGGAGGACGGATCGCCTAAGCCCTTCGGAGAAACCCTCCACCTCGCAGGGCAGCCGCGCCCACGTCCGCCACGAAGGTTGGCGCCGAGGTCGGGCGCGCGAGCGTGCGATCGCCTGAGCTAAGTATCGTTTAACCGATCCCCATCCCCAGCGGCGTGGCCTGGGCCCCACTGGCCGATTTGCCCCCCTGGATAGGAGATAGAGGCCGTTCCGTTCGGGTCTCGAGGAGTGTATCCCCAACTGGGGTGGTCACTTGGTGGGGGTCTCGAAGGGGATGGGGATGGGGATGGGGATCGTTTAAAGGATACCGACGTGCGCCGTGCCCCGTTGAGTCAGGCCTCCCCCGCGTCCGAGCACGCGTGTACCCAGGGCCGCCATGGCCCCCGCCTCGCACCGCTCTCGGGCCCTTGCTCGGCCTCCCCCCCATCGCCGCCGCCGTGGCCCGGCTCTTGTCCAGCGGAGCTGGGGCCTGGCGTGTGGATGCCACGACAGCTTGCCGTCGCTCGGGCGTCCATTTCCCGTGCATGTTTCGGTCTCGTGCTCCTCCAGGGCCCTCGCGAGAAAAAAGGCACACGTCCGAGCGGTGCCAGGACAATGGACACGCTACCAATCCTGTCACTGAAATTGAAAACGTGCTGGAAATGTTAACCTGTGAAGAATGTTCTAGAAGTAAAAACATGTTCTCTCCCCAAATAGGCTTGCCCTGTAGGAGTCCCAGCTCATCATAAGCAATTGGTCTTTAGGCCCCCCCCCTCCTTTTTCCAATGGCACCCCCCCTAATTTCCAATGGCACCCCCCTCCCCCCCCCCCTTTCGTCAATGGCACCCTCCCCCCTTATGTCCAATGGCAAACCCCCAGCTATTTCCAATGGCGAGTCCTATGGATTCCTATGGATTCCGATGAGTCGTATGTATTCCTATGCCTATGTCAATGCCTTTATGCCAATGCCTATAACAATGCCTATGCGTACGGAGTCCTTTGGATCCTGAGCCAGGACTCCTACGGATTCCTATGGATTCCTATGGATTCCTATGGATTCCTATGGATGCCATTCCTCATCATACCCCCCCTCCCCTGATTTGCCCAAGCTTACTCCGACGGCTCTCCGTACTTGCATGGCTGCTCGCTTCTTGTTGCTCGCTTTTGTTGCTTTCCATGTCATGCTTGGCTTCCTCTCCTCCCGTCATCTCCTCCTCGTCTTCTCCTTCTCTCGCTCTTCTCCTGTCCATCTATCTATTTGGAGTCAACGCTGGCTGATATCTTAGATATCAGCCAGCGTTGACTCCCTCCATCCCTCCCTCCCTCTCCTGTTCTCTCCCTCCCTCCCGCTCCATCCCTCTGTCTCTCCCTCCCTCCCTCTCCCGTTCTCTCCCTCCCTCCCTCCATCCCTCCCTCCCTACGCTCAGCATGAAGGAAGCGGGTCCTGAAGACAAGGGGTACCGAGAGTGCCCAGCCGTGCTCGAGCCCCCACATGAGGCCCTCCGCGGGCCCTGGAGCCGTCAGAACACGACCTGCCGCGGAGAGAACCAGCCCTGGAAAAAAAAACAATAAAAAAACAGAACCAAAAAAACGCCCCCGAAGGGCCAGGACGCGTGGCCCTCCGGACAGCGCTCCTTCCTGGCGATGCTCTCCCCTGCGCCCCCCCCCCTGCCGCGCGGCCATGTCCGACGGGCCAGCCCCGAGCGGCCCACGAGCCCCGCGTGGCGCGTGGCGCGCGCGCGCGCAGGCGGACGGAGCCCCCACGACCCTCACCGCCCGATGCCCAGCGGCATGGCGGCGCCCGAGATGGTCCCAGCCTTCTGCCAGGAGGCGGACACGTCCTGAGAGCGTCGACGGCGACGGCGCCAACGGCGCCGACGACGAGGACGAGGAGGACAATGAGGACGACGACGAGGACGACGATGAGGACGACGAGGAGGAGAACGGGGGGGGGGAGGGGGGAGGGAAGGGGAAGGAGGGAGACGATGGGGGGAGAAGTGAGGGAGGGAGGCGTGAGGGAAAGAGGGAAGAGGGAGGGGAAAGGTGGTCCCGAGGTCGAACCCAAGGGACCCAAGGTGCCCTCATGAGGCCACGAGGTTGCCTGACAACACCCCGCGGGCACCGACGTCGGCGGCGACATCGACATTGCCGCCGCCGCCGCCGCCGCCGCCGCCGCCGTCGTCGTCGTCGTCGTCGTCGTCGTCGTCGTCGTCGTCGTCGTCGTCGTCGTCGTCGTCGTCGTCGTCGTCGTCGTCGGCGTCGTCGTCGTCGTCGTCGTCGTCGTCGTCGTCGTCGTCGTCGTCGTCGTCGTCGCGGGGCGGACGGAGGCGCCAGAGGCGTTCGTCCTGACACGCCGCGGCGTAGCGCGCGAGGCCCTCCTGCTGGGCCAGGAAGGCCAGGATCGCCGAGTCGCCCTGGTGCTGAGCCTCGGGGGGGTTGGCAGCGGCTCCGAGAGGCAAGCAGGGCAGGGATCGCGAGGAGGGCACAAGAAAGCAGCAGGCTCAGGGAAGCTGACTGACTTAGGCTTATGTCAGGTGCGTCCCCCTACAATTTTCCACGAAAAATCTAAAGTACTCCAAAAATACCCAAAAAAGGTAAAAAGATACTCCAAAAATAGTCCCCAGACTATGTTTGGACTATTTTTTGATTATGTTGGGGGTGTTTTTTTATTTTTCGTCGAAAATCCCCCATGTAGGGGGACAGGCCCGACTTAAACTTAGGCGGCGCGCCCGGGGGGGGAGTGAGAAGGGGCGGACCTTCTCAGAAGGCTCGGAAGTCCCCCTGGCCTTCTGAGAGGTTTCCCAGGCACTCCCCGAAGACACGAAAAACTTCTCAGAAGGCGCGAGGTCTTCTGAGAGGTCCCGCTGCCTTCTGAGAAGGCCTGCTCCTTCTCGTTTCCCCCCCTCGCTCGCCGCCGATGACTCGGGAAGGCCAGGAAGGCTCAGGAAGGATAGCTGCCAGGGAAGGCCGGGCTCGCCAGGTATCGCTGGTCCAGGCTCCACCTGGCCCCACAAGAGGCCAGGAGCGCCAGGATCGCCGCTCGGACCTCCGCCGCGAGGCAGTGGGGGGGCTGGGGAGGAGGGAAGCTGGAGGGGCAGATGGGGCTAGACTACAATCGGGAGCGGCCAAGAGGGGGGTGTCCAAGAGGGGGGGGGTGCAAATCATAACCGGTGGCACGTGCGCGGCCCAGCGGGAGGGCCTGGGACGTAATAAAATAAGAAGAGGCGCCATGAAATCTGAGGAAAAATCATGGCCCGCGCCATGAAATCCACCCCCCCTAATCATCACCCCCCTCTTTTCCGCCCCCGACAAAATGTGCGGACCGGAAAGGTCACGCAAGATAAGCGACGATGACCCCGTTAGGCCCCGGGGCCCCAAGACAACGTTGCGGAGACCAGCCCAGGGGTTCTCCAGTCGCTCAGGAAGGCGACCGGAGAGTGTTTTTGGAGGAAATATGGGACGGGATCGTGATTATCCGGTTCTTCCATCCTCGCCTTTAATATTACTACCGCCAAATAGGGTGAAGACCGGACAATCGCGATCCTGCCAAATACTTCCTCCAAAAACACTCTCTGGCCGTTTTTCCGAGCGACACGAGAATTTCTCACATCCGGAGAATGGTGATTTCGCCAATGACCTCCTCGGAAAAACTCTCTGGTTCAATTACCAACCACCGAATTTCGCTTGAGGCATCCTGAACACCATGTTTGTGGACCCGACGCATGCGGCCAGAAAGTTGCAATTTCGTGTGGGACTTCCTCGCAGCCACATGCATCGCTCCATCCTCGGTCGCCTAGAAAATTCAGATGCCACGCTGGACCTCCGCGTTCAGCTCGCGCGCGCACAACGCGCCGACAATGTGGAGTCCCTCTTCCAAATCCGCCTACTCCGGTCCATCTCTTCTGTCTGACAGTCGCCTTGTTTCTTATTGCTCATTGTCAAGATAAGCCGGATTCCGCTGGCTGTCGCCTCGCCCAGCCCGTCTGAACTTGGCCCCCACGGTCGTGCACAGGGGTGGTCACGCTTTTTCGGTTCATTGGACTCTGGGGGCCATCCTCAGGCGACGCTGGCCGCGAGGCCGATCCAAGATCGATCGACGACTGCGGGGTCAGGGGCGAACATGGGTCGACATCCACGGTGGGGCGAGGATGCTGGTTCCTGGATGCTGGAATTCGCATCTTCGCTCCCCGCGTCGCTGTCAGCGGAGCGCCTTCCCCAAAGAAAGCGCACCTGCGCGGCGAAGCACGTGTTGGAATGTTTAATGTTGCGTGTGTTTTTTTCAGCGATGGACCGCCGAGGGCGCGTCAAGACCCCTCATGGGGCCTTCAGCAACTCGGGATCACCTACGCCACGGCCTCAGCGGCAAGGACAGGCGGCGGGGTCCCCAGTGGTTGGAAATCCCTGCGTGGGTCCGTGCGCGCCCTGGGCGGTTCCCACCCTGGGGGGAGTTCGAGTGACTCAGTGCGAGGGGGCACCAGAGTGGGCCGAGAGTGAGTTGGGTCTGAACGCGACTGAGTCTGGATTTGAGTGGGGGCCAGGGTATGCGTTGGTTTGGGCGTGAGTGAGTTTGGGGGAGTGAATCTGACTGACCGTGCGTCTGGACGCAAGCGAACTTCAGTATGAGTGTGTCTAGGCGTGAGTGGGGCCTGAATACGAAGAAAGCGCGCGGGCGTGAGCAAGTGTGGTTAGGATTGAGTCTGGCCGTCAACGGCTGAGTAGAAACGGGTCTGAGCGCGAGTGAATGTGGGGGCAGAGTTCTTGCATGAGCCAGTCTGGATGCGAGCGGCTGCGCATCCATCAGTCTGCGCGTGAGCACGCACGGATATGAGTGAGTCTGAC